ATATTTATTATACTATAAGTTAGTATAGTAGTAATCGTTCTTATTATTTCTAGTCTCTTCTCGCTTCCTTAAGTAGTAATTATACTATCTTAAGTAATTAACCTAATATAGGCGCTCGTATTACTCTATACGTTTCTTAAATGTCTAAGGTATCTCCTTATTATTAGGTTCCTTAAATCTAGGCTATTCCTAGGCGGCCTAGTAGGCAATTTCCTCTACTTAGAGTTCTATAATAGTAACTTATTCTTTATAGTTATAATTATTAGCTACGTACGTTATAAGTCCGCAGATCTAGTATTATTAATTTCTTAGGCAGCGTAATACTTTAGCCCCTTTAACCTACTAATCTATTAGTAGTAAGTTATCCTACTTAAAGTCTTAGAGTTTTATTACCTCTTATACTAGCTTAAAGGCCTTATTTATAGCTTATCTTACTTTATTATATAAGTCTAGGTCGCTAAGAGTTTTATTTAGTTCCTTAGTAGAGTATAGTATCTCTACTCGTAGTATTTATACCTTTTCCTAAACTCTCTTAGTTAACTTATTCTTTAGGTAGTCTCTATAGAAGTGTTCTAATTCGCCGTAGTAGAGGTATACCTTACTATTATAACGCTTCTTATATTCTTCTAAGAAGAGACTGTTATTAAACTTTCCTTAGAGTTTCTTATTTTTATCTTTAGACTTATCTTATACCTTACTAGTTATATATATATCTCTATTACTATCTTTATTATTCTAAAATTATTAGCTATTAGTAATTAGTAATTTTAGTTAGTTTCCTTTCTAGGCTTTCTTCCTTTCCTATAATCGTGTATTAATTCTTATTACTAACTTAATTAGTAAGTATAAATTCTTCGGCTTCTCGTAGTATATAAGTTTATCTTTAATAACTTCTTTTAGACTAGATTCGTAAGTCGTTTAAAGTACTAAATTATCTTAATTAATTTATACTTAGTATTACTTAAACTTAGCTATATATACTAATACTAACTTAGTCTACTTTAGACGTAAGATTACTTTCTCGGTCTAGCCTTCTGCGTCTACCTCTCTAAAGATGCGTTTTAGTTCTTCCTTAAAGTTAGTCTAACTACTAAATAGCTTCTATGTCTCTTCCTTAGTTCCTTTATTTAGAACGTCCTCTAGAAAGTCCTCTACGTAGAGTTATATCTAGCTAGCTACTTTTTCTTTTATATAGGTATTAGCTATAAGGATTTTTTTCTTATTATTAGATACTTTATTATAACTATAGTAAAGGTCGATATTAGTAAGAAACGTCCGTAGCTTAGTGCGACTCTTATTATATTTATTAGGTATTACTATTTTAGGTTTCTTAATAGGTTTTTTATTTAGCGTAGCTATTATTTAGCTTATAAGCTAGTAGACTGTAGCTTATAGATTAGCTATTAGTTTTGTCTAAATCTTAGTCTAGTACCTAAGATTCCTTAGTTCTCGTAAGTAATAAGCGTCTTTATCTACTTCTTTGTCGTTACTTAGAGTTAGCATCTTGTCGTTAAGTGCTGGGTTAGCCGCTAGTCCGGGACTCTATACTAGTCTACTAGTACTAGCCTAAGATTAAGAGTAATTATAAGATATCTTGAATCTTAATTAGGTATTCTATTATTAATCTTCTAATCTACTAAATTTGTAGGTAGTTAAAGTGTTATACAGAGTTAGATGCTAATACTCCTCTAAGCTTAATCTAGGTTAGAGTAAGTAAGTTAGTATAAAAAGCGTCGTGAGAGTTTGTCTAGTAATATAGTAGAGTAGTGTACTTAAATAGAAGGTAATAAAAGTTCGACAACTACTAATCTATATTAAATAGACTAA